CCAGGTTTCAGAGGTTTCATTCCATGGTCAACTGACTCCAAGGCAGAAATGACATGACAGAGGAAAGTCGCTTACCTCCTGGCAGCCAGGAGGCAGAGAGACAGGAAAAGAATTAGAGGGTAGGAGGCCAGACCCCAAGGCCATGCTCATGACCCTACTAGACACACCCAGAAGTGTACTTTACAGTAATGTCTTAGGGATCTCTTGAGTCAATTGCAGTAACAAGATTAATCATCACATTGGCCTTTGTTATTTTAAGCAGCCATCATATGTGAAAATACAAATGGAGGAGATTGTGTAACTATGAGGTCATTCACCCGAAATTGCTCTAAAATGTAAATCCTCAGAGTATTTTTATGTAGTGAAATTATGAAACATTAGGAAAACCAAGGCCTTATCTTAATACTATGGCAGAACAAAGAAATCATGCATAAATAGATCTGTGTGTACACATACATAGATGCATACACAGTACTGGCCAGTTGGGTATGAAATTCAAAATACTAAGGAAACACCGGGCGTAGTGGAGCACACCTGTAATCCCAGCACTCGGGAGGCTGAGGCAGGAGAATCGCTGTGAGTTCGAGACCAGCCTGGGCTACATAGTGAGTTCCAGGTTAGTCTCAACTATAAAGTAAGACCCTGTCTCAAACGAACAAACAAACAAATAAAGTAATTAATTAGATTTGTAATGAAGACATCATATTTTAAGACCTTGTTTTAAGTTCTACAAATTTGTATTGGTCATCTTTTACTAATTGCAAAGTTTGATAATGTCTGTGTCTTTTGCATCCTTTTACCTAGTAGATATGTGTTTATCTGATTGTAATGTCAAAAAAAAAAAAAAAAAAAAAAAAAAACCAAGGAGATACGTCTTTCTTTCATTTTTAAAACCTGTCAGTTGAATTTTTCTGAAATCGCCATCAGAGATGCACTTTTAAATGAGCGGAGTTTGTGCCACATCCTGCTCATGAGTCTTGGAACTCCATTAGCTCGGCCTGGACATCAGGCAGCACGCTTGTCATATTAAAAACAGCTTTAGCCTCTTTACTAGATGTCCAGTGGTTCACAAAAATGCAAAGCTAACATTTTTAAGAGACTGGTAAAGGTGGAACAGATGTGCACCAAACTGTAGGGAATTAAATGCTGGTATGAGTTTTACAAGAGGAAGGAGTGGGATTCTGAGGAGGAGTTGGATTTTGTTGTAAATAAGGAAGATAGTAGTTCTCAGATTTTAAGAATGACCAGAGAACCTCTGTACTTGGCTATCTTTCCAGATGGAAAGATACAAATATCTTTACAAAAAATGTTTTCACAATTTGGTCAGTACCGATGAAATATAAAATTTATGCTTGGTTTTTATTTTTGTTTATTTTATCTATTTTTGCTCAGTTGTATACATTGAGAAGCCTTCCATCTCCCACTCTCGAGTTAAGATACAAGTGATTTCATGACTAATGAACTCCATATTTAGAATTCTAATGAAATGAATTAGCTTAAATAATGTATTTCTTTAATATATGCCAGCTTTGAAAAAAATAACTTTATTTTTCTTTGAAGTAATGAACTTACAAGGAATAACTCTCAAGAAAATGGTCTTATCTCTCTCAGAGTATTAGTGAATTTTGTATTGGAAAATCAAAACTATTATAAAACCTAAGAAAATCATGTATCCTCATGTAACAATCCTTTTGTTACTCAATTATAATTTTTTTTTCTGGTACTGGGGATCCAACTCGGGACCTTGTGCTTGCAAGGCAGGTGGCAGAACCACTGAGTTAGGTCCCTGGCCCTAATTAAATTTTGGTCAGGAAAAGAAGGATAATAGTTTGTGAATAATTTATTTGTAAGGAAATGATTAGACTACTTGAGACAAATTAAGCATCTTTGAAATAGCCCTAGTGTCAGTAATAATTTTCCTAGGGACAAACAAGTAATTGTCTTATTTTCTGTGCAAACTACTAACTGTACTTGAGGCTGTGCTTTTTTATCCATAGGAACCTTGAGGTGATGTGCCCAAGGGACCTTCATGTTCATCTCATGGTTAAATTCATTTTTGGCCATTGAAGGAACCAAGTTCACCCAAAACATGCATCTGAAAGAAATGGAACATCTAAAAATATATCCTGCATCTTGAACTTCTGCATGTTCCTATCCATATCATGCTCTTTTCTGCATTATTAAATAAAAAATATTAAAGACAGTAGCTCTCCTGAACAGTACCAAAGCAGGCATTTTGAGGTCCATGAGACCCACACAGAAGAGTAAAGCATGAAACAGGACTGTGCTTGTAGCAGTGTCACCTGGGGAGATGTGAAGCCCTGTGTGGTTTCGGATAAGGAAGATGTTCAGCTTCTTGCTGCAGATTAAAGGAAAAAATAAGGGCCAGGGATTTAGCTCAATGGTTCCACCCCCTGCCTAGCAAGCAATGAGATCTCAAGTTCAATCCCCAGTACCGAAACAAAGAATTTTTTATTCACTTGTTTTGAGTTTTACAGATTTCTGGGCTTCAGCTTTCCTCCTAATAAATAAATATTTACTAAAATAATCTTTACTGCATGACTGCCTTGCATGTTCACCACTTCAAAATGTCTGCGATCAAAGATTTTGAAATCAAGACGTAACTCAATTGAAAGAAAGAGGGTTGGGTCATATCTGACATACAGAGAACAACAGTTGGATCTTCTAGTATTATCAGGGACCTTTTTCCTTAGTGACTTAGCAGGACCCTCTCTCCAAAAAAGGAAAAAGAAAAAAGTTGGGGAGGGGTTGCATTGAAACTCATTGTAAAGACCTTGGGTTCTATCCTCATACACTGAAATAAACAAGTAAAAAGTTTTTGGTAGGGACGAAAACTTTATATACAGAAAAGAAATGATTGTTCCATTCTATGTAGCAGTTACAAAAGACATTCTTTGAGATTTTCTTAAAAATTGGGAAACAGTGTCTATTAGTAAAGTAAGGAGATGCATAGGGAAAGAAAATGTCTTGAGAATGAAAGTTAAATGTTCTAAGATGGCATTCTTGGGAGATTGTGGAATCTCCTTTTCTGGAAATGTTTAAAAACAAGACAGATCTTGGGAGAAGCTTGAAGCTCAGACCAGCCCCGCGGCAGGAAGATTAACTAGATTATGCCTGTGTGGTCTGTGGGGTCATTGGAAGAGTTCTCAAATGCAGTAAATATTCCACACTCCACTGGCTGAATTGCTGTGTTTCCTAGCTGTTGATTTGCAGCTTGGTTGTTTTAAGGCCAGTGTGAATGTATAAATATCGAAACTGAATTTGAGTGTGGGTTTGATGATGTAAGCTGTATGCATCACATACAGCTGAATATATTGTTCAAGCAATAAAGTATGCATAGTGGTGGAACCATTGAGAACATAACTTAGTTTTTTATGATATATGAAAAGTACCCACTTCCTTGCAAAGTTCCAATGCCACTCATCGTTTATTAAATAATTCTAAAGCAACTGTTGTGAGCAGGGCAAGCTTCAGTGTTGAAGAAGATATGGTCGCTGTCTTCATGAAACTTAGTGTGCAAATGGAGATAAAATATACGCATCGATCACATTCATGATAAGTGGAAAATAGAATAATGGGGATAAGAGCCATAACAAAAGACTTTTAAACATGTGAGATTCAGAGAATGGAAAGATAATTTCTTTGATACAGCCAACAAATGCTTGCAGAAAAAAATAATATATTGAATTGAACCTTAAGGAGAATGAAGTGTTTTAAAAGGGTGGAAATTAAAAATAGGGATGGGGTGGAATTGTACTTAGTAACCTCAAGGTAAGGAAAGCTCCACTGGCACATGAGGAACTGGAGGTAATTCTAGCATTCTGGGAGGTTGAGGCAGGAGGATTGCAAGTTCTGTCAAGCTTGGGAAGTTTAGCAAGACTGTCTCAAAAAATTAAAATTAAAATATGTGAGAATGTAAGAATGTAGCTCAGTGCAGATGCCCTGGTTCAGTTCCTTTGGGGAGCAGGACATAGCAGGGAGCCCATCAGGGATATTGTTGAGTCATCTGGGCCAGTTTGCTAAGGAGTGCACTGAGAAATACTCATTTCAAGGCGTGTTAATATGTGTTCCCCAAAAAAGTGTCTCCTCGCCAAAATTAATTGGGGAAATAATAGCCAATTAAATGGGTTCCTTACTAAAAGTCTTTTCATAGCTTTTAATATTCAGGTGACCAATAGGGCCAAATCGGGCATCAGTTCCAACCCAATTTAATCTTTTGTTCATGAACTGTTTCATAAAACTGTTTCTTGGTAAACACTTTGGGCAACATTGCTGGGTGCCTTGGAGAATAATGGCTGGAACACAGGTGTCGGTGACAGATAGCATGGAAACACGGTGAGATGGGAGTCCTTTTATGGAGCAAACACGCATTATTCCTGGTCTCTTACGGGTAGCTGTGTGGAAGGTGAATACGTGGGAGAGCGCATTACTGGTGTTTTAGCAGGAGTTGGCTGGAGATTGTTGTACAGGAGGAGAAAGGAGTCCAGTACTGGGAAAATGGGGAGTTTTGCACTGGGCTGTGTTAGAAAGGACCGGGTGGGGAGAGAGGAGAAGGAAATGGTGGAAACAAACATGTATCATTTAGTGTTACTTGAGACGCCGTGGGAGATCCCATGCTGGAGCTGTGGACTTGGGAGAGGAGGTCATTGTTCTCCCTCTCCCTTCTCCCGTCTCCCCTCTTCCCTCTCTCTTGTTAAATATAAATGTTAAAAAAGAAATCAGGTTATGATTTCTCCCTCAATGTTTGAATTTTGGATAAATACTAAATTTCTTACACAACCTGCTCCACTACAAGGTAGCCAGGCATACATTTAGTCTAAAAGAAACGTCAGGGGTAAGAAAAGCCACAAATGTACTGTGGTGTTTTCCCTGCTCTAGCAGATAGTAGTGGGCATCCTTCTCATTTTCACCAGTAAATTATTATTATTTTGCAGCAGGCTTAACTCAAATAGTTAATTTTTAATATTTTGTTCTTTCAGGTATTTGCATTTGATTATTGCTTTTGGTCCATGGATGAATCTAACACTACAAAATATGCTGGTAAGTTGTCTCTTTCAGCTGGGCCTCTGGCCTCTTCTATTGTGTCTGTTATTCTGAAGTTTGTTCTTCCCATGTAATTCACACCTACTCTTTCAAACTCTAGTGCATGGGTTTAGAAGTTGATAACATTTGGTGTCAAAGTCTGGCTCTGCCAATGACTTGCCAAACAACTTGGACAGACTTTTTTTTTTTTTTTTTGGTACTGGAGATTCAACCCAGGACTTTTGCATTGAGCTACATCCTTGGTCCTTTATTTATTATTATTATGTTTTTTAGACAAGATCTTTCTAAATCACCAAGTTGCGCACATTGGGCTTGAAATTGTGATCTTCTTGTCTCAGCCTCCCAGAATGCTGAGAAAGTTTTTTGCCAGCCTCATAAATCTTCTAGTCCCTCAGCTGATGGAGGGTATCATTATCTTCAGAGATGTTCCAAGGATTGGAGAGCACGAGGAATCACAAATCATGGCAGCTGCTGTATGGTCTCACAAAGAGCTTCCATTTGCCATGACTTCTCTTGTCATTTTCAGGCCATACACAACTGCTTTTTTTTTTATGTTAAATAATTGAATTTAGTGGTACATTTTAGGGATACAGTACAGTTAGATTCATTGTTGGGATCTTGTACCTTTACATGACAAGTCTTGATTCTCATTTTTTCCCCTTGTCCCTGCCCTCCCTTCACCCCCTCCTCCCCTCCCCATTTACAACCACTTTATTTCCATCTTTTTATTTTCTCACATTTTTTTCTTTTCCCTTATTACCATTCCACTACACATCGCAACTTCCCTACACCTTTAGCCCCTTGCCTCCTATTTCACAATGTCAGTTATCTCATTAGGATTTTATGTACTATTACATGCTTTTTTTTTTTTTAAATCACTCAGGGTTTTAGGTGAATCATGGGCCCTTCCTGGGCATGAATCACATTTGCTTTAGTTCAAGAGGGAAACATTGGTTTTAATGGAGAAAGTCTTTGCTTCCTTTCCATCTGATTGTGTGCTGAAATATTTTTATCTCTGTGTGTGTGTGTGTGTGTGTGTGTGTGTGTGTGTGTGTGGAGGGACGGGGAGACAGGGTCTAAGTTGCTCTAGCTGGCTTCAAACTTGCGCTTTTCTTGCCTCACTCATCCTCTTGAGCAGCAGGGATTACAGGTATGCACCACTGTGCCTGACCCTTTTTATTTTTAATTGACAAAAGTTGCATATTATGTACAACATGATGTTTTGAAATGTGTATATTATGGAATGGCTAAACTGAGCTAATTAGCATTATCTCATACTTATTTTTGGTGATGAAAATACTTAAAATCTACTCAGAGATTTTCAAGATTATAGTACACTGGTATTAACTGTAGTCACAGTGTTGCACAGTAGACTTAACTAGATACTTTATCTCAATGAGTTTCCCCCATTATTTTTCCTCATAGCAACATCATCTGAATTACTTTCTCATTTAGTTAAACTGGAAAATATAGGTCTTAGATTTCAAGGTAAGAGGAATCTGTTTTCAGAAAGTTAACTCTTGTTTATTGTTAGCTTTTCCTTGCCACCTAAAACAAGCTTGTTGAGAAACTGTTTGGCACCTAATAATATTTTCAAAAGTTAATCATTGCTACACTAGAAGATTCCATTGGGTAAATTAGCCTTTCCAGACTTTATTCCTGCAACTTTAGCAATTTATTTTATTAAAACAAGTAGGTCTTAATGTTGACTGTAATTGGTCTTTTATCATCCTTTTGGGACTTCACATAATTCTACAGATTCTAAAATAGTTTTTCTTGATGGTTAGCATTATATGTATTTGTGTGCTGGATGTGTGCTTTTAGATTTAAATCAACAACAAGCATTTCCCGTGCCTGCAGAGACAAATGGGGACAAACGCTGTCACTATTACAAAGCCCAGTGATTCACCCTGTTCAGTTGATGTTCTTTAGGATTCCAGCAGTAAGTCTTCCTGAACAGGAGCTTTTCTCATTCTCAGATATTTTCCAGGACCACTCATGGCCTCTTGGGTAAAATCCATCGTCCCTGGACTACATTTAAAAAGCTCCAGGCTACCTTCCCTACCCTCTTGTTTATAACTTGCCTCAGCCCAGGGTCTATTTTTGTTACCTCCTACATAATCCAGGAAGCCAGAAGGCCTCAGATAATCCCTCAGGTATTCATAAAGCCCCCACTGTGTGCACAGCTCAGGAATCCTTTGAGAAATAAAATAACTAAGTTGGGCAGCAAAATAAATGCATATCAAACAATATTTTGAAATGATTTTTTTAAATCCTGAATTTTATAGGTTTTAAAAGAGACAAAAGTTTTATAGAGACAAAAGCTGGGTAGGCTGGAGTTACCGGGGAAGGCATCATGGAGATGAGGCCAAAACTGGGCATAGAAGTTCAGCATAGGAGAAAAAAATTTTTAAATGTTTGAGGTGTTGCACATGGTAATAGCCTGATTTAGCCATTCCACAGTGGATATACATTATCAAAATGTGTTGTGCAGCACCCTCAATATATATGATTTTTACTTGTCAATTTAAAAAAGTGAAGCATAGGTTCAGTCAAAGGGGAATGTGAATGCTTGTAGACAAGAGAAGGGACATCTCATGAAGGTGCACACAGGTGTTGATGGCTGACCACGTTTGAACCTCAGGACCTCTGCTGTGGTTCTCTTGGATAACTCTTGGATAGCCCGCTTCCCTTCTTCTTGTGATACTGGAGATTTGAACCCAAGGCCTTACATTGAACTATATCCCCATCCCTTTTGAGCTATTAAATTTTGAACCAGGATCTGGCTAATTTACTAAGTTGCCCAGACTGGGCTGGAACTTATGATTCTCCTGCCACAGCCCTAGAGTACTGGGATTATAGGCATTGTCACCACACCTGGCTTCTCTTAGATAATTCTTTAATTTCTCTGAACTACAGTTTCTTTTCTGTGAACTGGAAATATCTGCACCTATGTTATATAGTTATTTAGGGCTTATGTAGTTGACTTTATGTGCTGATTAATAGGAGATACCCATAAATGATACTTTGATTTTGCTAAATTTTTGGTTGCCTGATCACATTGAATGTTACATTGTGATTACATCTGAAATAGGGTCTCTTGGGTCATGGAGTAATGTCTTGTTACAAAGTTTTTAATGAGAAAATTTTTCTCTTTCTTTAGATATCTCTGTTATTGTATAAATAATGTGATCCCTTAGCAAAAAAGTAAAATTCTTTGCTGCTTTTTTGTCAGATTTTCATCCATTATAAATTTTCTGCCTGGTAGATGCATTATTAGGAAATTGATTTCCATACTAATTTGATTTCCAAATAGCAATTCTTAATTGTGAATAGAAACATTAAGATAGAAGTATTCATTCTTTGGTGGGAAATGGAGAGGAGGAAACACATATTTCCTGAAACCAATCTATTTGTGAGGCTCAGTGAATAATGGCATCATTGATACTGAATCAGGACTCTCAAAGCCGCTTTCACAACTTGGAGGTGAAAGGAAGAGAGAGGGATAGTGCGAGGATTGAGAGGGAGGGAAGCAAGGGCTGCTACGTTTCGTGTGTGTCAGTGTTAAACTCTTGTTGAGCTTGCTGCTTATCAGAGGCTATAGCAGGAGCCCCCGCTTGCATTCTTTTTGATTTTGAAACATAATTTTTTAATACATGAAGGCATTGCAATAGATTGGTTGGAGCAATGGAAGACTATGGACTCTTAGGTCAGACTGCCTGTGTTCATCCCAGCCCCACCACCTGCTGTCTAAGGGTTAGGGTTAGTGGATGCATCTCCCTGTGCTTCTGTTTCCTCCTATGTTAATTAAGGGTAATAATAGTTCTGATCTCATAAAGAAGGCTGGTCTGAGGACTAAAGACTTGCTCATGTAAAGTACTTAACCCATTACCTGGCACCCAGGTAGTATTAATCCGTCTTTATCATCATCACACCACAGGAGTAGTCAGGTAGTTTCATCAGTTCTTTGGACAGAGAAAGCATGTCCTGGGATTTATGAGACCTGGTTTTGCCACAGGCTGCAAGACTTTGGGCGAGATAACCTTTGTGGGTCTGTTTCCTCATCTGTGACCAACCAGAGAGGGACAGGAGGAGATAGAGCCTCTTCCGATCTCAGGTCCCCTCCGGCTTGCTGATAAAAACCAAATCAGCCATTTTCTGCAGCTGTCCAGCTGTGCCAGTCGACTTCTTAGAGGCAAATCAAAGGCTGTTTGTTAAGCCATTTGCATTGTATTGGGTCGTACTTGAGGCATTTTACATTTAAAATATACTCTCTTCCTTCTATTACCATTTGGCTAGTCCTAATACTATTTTTTCCCAGATAATTCTCAGTCTTAAAGTATAAAAATTTTGTGCTAGAACTAAGGGAAAAAAACATAAAAACCATAGAATTAGGCACTTAAAGCATGACATTCCTGTATAAACCTGCCTCCCCTGCCAACCTCATATTCACAGCCACATACAGAGGTACACACTGGAGATTAGAAAGTTCTCATTACAGTCAGCATTGACAAACTTGAACAGTCTTTGTAAATGTTTAAATTATTACTGATTGCAATTAAGACATTATTGACAATCTTTTTTTTTTTTTTTTTTTTAGAGAAATAATTTCCTAAAATGTGCCATATTGGTAGGCAGCCATCGCTTCTGGTAACCTTGGTTTTTATTTTCTTCCTGATTTTCTATATATCTTCATGCCAGGTGTAAAAACCAGTCTGGTGGTGACATATCTGGTGTTCAGTGTGGATGTGAGCATTCTGTGGCCTGAGAGGTTCTAAACTGTTGACTTAGAAATTATATAACAGTTCTTGCCATATGGCATGTTGCTCAGGTTTGCTGAGGCCTTGTGTTTTCAGGCATTATTAATGAGACAGGTCATATGTGTGATGTTTTTTTGCTCACATTGCTTAATCCTGTGATGGGAGGCATGAGCACCTCTGAGCCCTGGGCTGTTTGTGGAGGAGGGACTCTCTTAGGGGAGGAGTTTATGTGCCTAG